TCAGTAATTTGTCTCCTGAACCTTCTGGGTATGTCTGGGCACTGTTTATTGTTTGTTTGTTTTTCAAGTATAACCAATCTATTTGGCCCCAAACCTTTTGCTACTTGCTTACACAATCAAAACAAAACAGAACAAACAAAAAACTGATTACAGTTTTATATACTGTACTATAGAAAAGCTAAAATGAATTAGTGCTTTTTTTGGAGAGGAGTTTTTAAAACTAAAATTATTTAACTCTTTAAAATAAACATGGTGAAATGAGAAAATTATTATTAGTTCATCTCTTCTGATTTGAGGTGACCTAGAAATGAAAATTAAATCCAATTTAAAAATGTATTTTGAGGAAACAAGCAGAAACCATTAGGAAGTGGTGCATCATTTGGGGGGTGAATTTCTGGTAGCCTTGAGCAGAGGATAAGGGTATTTCCCCTTGGCATAAGGACAGCTAGAAGCAGGAACAGAACTGTTTACCATCTTTCAAGCACATAAAGTAAGTTTCTTATACATATTCAAATGCGTACAATAAGTACAAATAGATCTCAAATCCAACATCTCTCAATATCCACCATCATCTCCTTCCTAGTTTCTATAATAACCTCCTAATGGGTCTCATCTCCCTGCTTCCTCCCTCACTTCCTTCAGTGTGTTTGAAATACCAAAGACAGAATAAACCTACTAAAATGTAAGCCAGATCCTTCTCTTTTCTTCAAAAACTCTGTCAATACTAACTAAAATCCTCATAATGACCTGGAAGGCCTTCCATGACCTGGCTCTGTGTGACTGCTCCTCCCCTTACATACTCTGCTTCATTGTTTCTTGTACACACCAGGGACACACACACCAAGACTTCTGGGATTGCTCTTCCCTCTACCTGGAATACAGCTCTTCCATTTACTTCAGGTCCTTTTTCATATGTCTCATTCTCTGGTTCCTTGTATCTCATGTCTATATTTTCCTTCTTAGCACTTATCAATACCTAGCTTGCTATATATTTAACATATTTATCTTGTTTATTGTCTGTCATTCCTAGTAAGTGTAAATCCTATCAGGGCAGGGATCTTTGTTTTTTTCACCACTATATTCCCAGCATGTAGTCTCTATTGTCCATAGTAGGCACTCAGATAGTTACTTTAAAGAATGAATGAATAAATGAATGGGTTAATGAATTAACTTCTAAATCTTTTGAAAAGATTATTAGGAAAAAAAAATGGCTCCAGATTGGGAAACTTTAAAAGTTCTTGATGGTCAGACATATCCTGTATGAGATAAATCAGAATATTTGAAGATGGAACCCAATCATAAATATTCTTTAAAGCCCTTCAGTGATTCACATGTGCAACCTAGATTGAGAACCATCAATATGGACATTATTTCCACACTTTAAAGTGCTCACCGAACTCCTAGGTATATTTTTATAGTCTGATTTCTAAAAAAACTCTTGGGATGCCTCTGCTGCTAGTCTGTAGGACCACACTGAGGAGCAAGTTCTTATATCCATATTCTACTCAACTTGAATGTCCCTATGACACTTTTTTATCATGGTTTGTACTTTGTTTTCTCCTGACTTGTTTTACTTAGTTTTAGGTTTGCATTATAATGTACTTGAAATATTTGGGAAGCAAATATAGAATAAATACTAACTAAATACATAAATGAAGATAACTTCTTGAGAGCATTTTCTGGATGCAGAGAAGGGTGATAATCAAAAGTAAAAATAAACGTTTATTTACACCCACTACTTTTTAAATAGGAAAAGTGAATTTAAAATATTACCTACAATGTATATTACATATTTTATTTGATATCACTTTGTCTGAAAAGCCAAAACATTCAACTAAATTCATATCAATTGAAGTCAGAAAATTATACCACAGATGAAGAAGCTAAAAGAAGTAGTAGGGTGGAAACCCACATGTTTAGAAAAAACACTGTCCCATATAATCCCAAATTGTTTTTTTTAATAGCTGTGATAACTTAGGTAAAATATTTCACATCTACAGAACTGTTTTCTTTCCTGTAAAGTGGGGGAAATTTTTTCATAATTTCAAAATAAATTAATATAAAAATTAATATACAAATGCCTGGCCTAAAGTAAGTACCAGTGCATGTAAACACTTCTTTTTTTCTTACAGTTGGTTAGATAAGAGTTAAAATGTATCTTAACAGTCTTGATAGGAAAAACAAAGAAAAAAAGCTCTTTAATGCCACAACTATGTGTCATTCTTGTCTAGGAGCATAAATTTGCACAGCGGGCAGTGCAGTGAAAACAGCTCATAATCAACTCATCACCTCTCATCATTGCTAGGATCAAATGCAAATGGGAAAGAATGCCACTTCAGTCATTGCTAGTGAAAATTAGCATCTGTGACACTAATGGTGTCTCATTTACTATGCACTTTAGGTTTTAAAAAATGGTAAAAAAAAAAAAAGCTATTTCTAGAACTGCCATTATTACAATGTTTCCCTATATAATAACAGTGGTATTTGAATCTCTTTTACTCAAAGAAAAACCTTAGTAAAAATTTATTAACACAGATCATTAATCCTAGCCAAAGAAAAGCCAAATCGTTCAGTTTCAGAATTTCATTTGTAACATTTATTCCTTTTCTATTGTCTAAGTTTCTACCATATTCCATGACCTGGAAAAAAGGTCTACTGTTAAATAATGATAGCCCTCTCTAGGGATTCTTACACATTTGCTGTATTGATATTCTTCTTAAAATGAAACTTAAAAATGAATTAGTTATACTTATACACATATGTACAAACTTTCTTATGTATACACTAATAAACTTGCTTCCGGGAATAATGAAAGTACATAACATTAGTGAGTTAACATGAACTGGATGAATAAATAATATTTTCATCATTTTTAATGGTGCTCATTACCTACTTTAAATTTACAATAAAACACAAGGAAGTCTCTCTCTCAGAAATTCTGAAATAATATAACACAAGGAGTGTATGTTTCTGAGTGAAGAGATGTGAACTATTGTCGGATTTGTAGTTAATCAGCGTAGGCAGTGATTCCCTATATATCAGAATGAGTTCGTCATGGTTCTATTCTGTCTTTCTAGACACAAGCTCCACGTTTCCTTCCAGCAGATGAAGGGATTTACACTCTCCTTTCTACTACCTATTTATTTGTAGGGATCATCATGACATCCACCTCTGCTATCCTTTATGGATTTTGCTCTTTTCCCATAAAATACACAAAGAAAATTACCCAGTAAATGTTTCAAAGACATAATAATTGGGAAAATATCACTTTTGTATTTAAAGGAAATGATTTATTTGACCTGGAATGTTGAAAAACTCTTGTAGGTGTACACCTACATACTTCTTTAAATTCATATAGAGTGGATAAAGTAATAATGTGGTACATATATACAATGGATATTTCTCAGTCATGAAAAAAAATGAATCTTGGCATTTACAACAACATAGATAGATCTAGAAGATATTATGCTAAGTGAAATAAGACAGAGAAAGACAAATAGCATATGATTTCACTTATATGTGGAATTTAAAAAGCAAAATAAGTGAACAAACAAAACAGAAACAAATTCATAGATACAGAGAACAAGTTGATGGCTGCCAAATGAGAGGGGAGCGAAGGGATGGGTAAAAGATGAAAGGGATTAAGAAATATAAATTGCCAATAACAAAAATAATTATGGGGATGTAAGGTACAGCATAGGGAATATAGTCAATGATATTTTATAAAGCCAGGAGGGTACTAGATCTATCAGGATGATCACTTTATAAGGTATATAAATGTCTAATCACTATGTTGTACACCTGAAACTAATATAATACTGTGTGTCACCTGTAATTGGAAAATAAATTAATATAAAAATTATATGGAATAAAACTATCCATCTCAAGAAAATGAGAATTTATTCACAACAAAATTTATCCAGCTGTAAAAATGCTTGTCTATCCTTTAGCAGATCTTTGTGTCAGAAAGAATTAATATTAAAAATAATTTATTCTTAGTTTCCAAAGATTGGAAATTATTTATTTTTAGTTTCCTTCAGAGAAGTTTCCTGTAGCTTGAAAAGAATTTTAAAATATTGACCATTGTTCAAATGCCACATCGATTCACAATCAATTCTCAAGTCTTTTCTCTTACAATGGATGCTAAGCAAATAAGGACCCATAATAGATACTAAATCAGTCCTTTAAAAAGATATTTGATGTCAGCTATTGTTTATTCACAGATTAAAAATGTTATTTACCTAAGAAACTCAAGAAATGTACAAGTATTAGAGAAATTCTCTCTAACAGTATTTCATAAATTAATAACTAATTTAGACTTCTAAAACAGTATCTAAAGTTTGTTAGCTTGTGCCTTATTTTTTTAAGTAGCAATTATTGTCTAGGCGAAGACTAGAATAACATTCCAAATAGTATCAATTTGACAAATCTATTAAGTTACGTGATTTTGATGCTTTCCAAAACACGAACCAATCTTCTCCTTAGTAATGGTGTTAGTTCAAGAGAAAACTAGAATGAAAAAATACTGTATTTTTTATTCTACCATATAAAAAATGAAAAAACATATAAGGAAAATATCTACTTTACAACCTTCTCATAATTAAGTGCATTGTGAAGAGCTGAACACTTAAGAGATAAAATGCATTCAGTAGATTGTTAAATAGATATTGATAACTTTATGGTCATTCAAAATGTGCAAGAAGATTTTATAATATCAACCTTTCAAACAGAGACCATCAAATTGATTTCATGAAGTTGATAATCTGAGCTCAAAGTTCAGATTACCACTGTAAATGATCAAATATGCACTATAAGATAAAATTACAAAGATAATAACTGGTATTATTTAGCAACTAATCTGTAATTTAATTTTTTTCATACCTGCCATGAGGCATTCAACCCTCTGATTGAATTTATTTATGACTGACAGATAAGAACAATGTGTGCATGCATTCTATTAAATGGTTTAGTTTTGTTGCCTACGTATGAAATTGTCTTACCTTTGGTTTTTGATGTTTCTCCTTCTCTGAAGCATTGGATGGTTTTCTTTTCAACATCTTGAATTCAGCCTATTCCAAGTGAGTGCACTTTCTGTTGTTTCAGAAACAGCTGAGGATAGTCTACAGTGTGCTGTCTAAGATGTACAGCAGTAAATAATTTTGAGCCCTGTGACCTGCCACTTCCTTCTTTTGTCAGGATATGACTTCACATCTACATGGGTAACGTTTCTGGGCTTTCTTTTTTTTTTACAATAATTCTTTGGTAACTCTTTAATGTTCTGTCTCTGCTATATTCTATGAGGCGAATTCTTAAATTTCACACTTTGATATCCCTGCAGTTATCATAACAGTCATAAAGATTTCAAAATAAAACTCATGTTTTTAGTTTATATAAAAATAAAAATCTATAACACATCCTATAGGTAGTTTTATTTAAAAATAAAAATTTATAACACATTCTATAGGTAGAAGGAAGAAAACATCTGAGACAATAAATAAAATGAAACGAGATGTGGGCTTTTTAGTTTTCTAAAAAGGGTAGTCAATTTTACATTTCTAGGTAAATTTTGTTAGATGAAATAAACTAGACTTTATGCAATACTAATTGTATTTAAAGAATATATACATTTACTTAATAAATTGAGCATGGATGAAATTTATATAAATATAATTGGGAATATGATTCCAGAAATAAGGATTATGCATATTGTTATTTTTAAAATATGTTACTGTGCTGTAAAAAGCTCTGATTAATATGGAAATCTGTTAAACAGAATGCTCAATGAACCAGATGTTCATTGAGCTACAAACTACAGTGCCATATACTGATAATTTTTGTTCCAGTGATGATCCAATGGATCAATGGTACCTTCAAATGAAGCATCCAGAATCTCTATTTAATAGGCCTGGAATAGAGCTAATATGCTTAGAAAGACTTTCTTCCTCAAAATAAAGGATTTAACATTTTTTTTATAATGTCAAAACCGAGACACCTAGGAAGTAAAAGCAAGAAATTCAAGCTTTCTTGTTAATTAGGAATTTACCAAAGAAAGACTGTGAAATATCTGAAACTCTAGTTCTACTAAAACAGGATTGTTAAGGAAATCGACCTAGATTTCTGTTCATGAAACCCATGTGTTGTAAAGCAGTGGTGCCATATTCTTAATGAACAGCTTCTCTAGATAACAAATCAACTGACTCTATTTCTCAATCTTCCCTCACATCTCTAAGGCCCTCCTTCCTGAGGCCCAGTTCTCGTATTCAGATTTTACTGGTTAATTTCACAGATATTGAATTGAGTGTCTACTGTGCTCTGTCTGACAGATTATCAAGCCTCTTGACTAGCTAAAAAATTGCTTTTGTTCTATAATAGAATTGAAAGACTACACTTATCAAGATTATGGTTAGTATGCTTCTAGAGGATATTAAGAGCAGAATTATATTTTCAAGAATTATCAGGCTGGTATTTTCAAAATAATGACACAACAGATAATATTGAAACACCTCAGGACTTTGAGTTGGATAATTCCCTTGAAGTATGCCTTCTTTCAAACTTTTTATTTGGGTTCAGGTTCAGTAAGTAGCCTAAGTAAAAATTTTGTTCTTCCTCAAAACTTGAAAGTCATGAAAAAATATATTTCTTAACTAAAATATCTGCATCCTCCATGTTGCCATTTCTTTGTATGTGAATAGAAATTTAATTCAGCTGTGGAGTTCAGTCAATAATATGGAAATGATTATGTGATTACTACATGAGTGGATTTTAGTGAAGGTAAAAAGATATACCAATAAAGAATATACTTATTATATGACTTATTTAAATAATGTTTTATGCCAAGTAATGTTTATGGATCTTAAAGAGGAAAACTTCAAATAGTTATGTTTGAGGTGGTATTTGCTATACATTTTATTTCTACAACAATAACTAAAGAATAGAGAATACTCATATTTATGGTGACTAAGCTGGACTACATGCAGTTTAAAAAAATGTTACACAATCAGTTTTTGAAAATCTCAATTTATGATCTCTAGTCATTTTACCATCATTAACACTATAAGAAATATTTAAAATGTAAATAAAACTGAAAACTTTTCCTTCAGAATTACAAATGAGAGAAACAATTTTACAAACTTCTCTTATCGAATAATGTTTTCTGGAGATTAAAAGACAGATATGACATTTGAAGTCCTATTACAATCTGTATTAAACTCCTTGGTCCTCAAAATATTTCAGGTAACAAGATAGAAATTGTTTTTATCAATTATCTATTTATGAAATTCTGGGGCTACCAAGATATTTAATAAGTGACCCAGAATGATCCAGCAAATTCAAAAGTCTAAGGTAGACAGAACAGGAATGGAGTAAATAGAGTCAGTTTTGAGCACACCTAACTCCCTATCATGATTCAACCACTAAACCACATGTTGCTTAAGACATGTTCCGAAACAGGGAAATTGCAAAAGAGCTAAGTCTCAGTGTACTGTTTTTACACATTACCTAAATGATCTTATAAGCCAGGCAGAGTGAAACAAGGTTGGGACTTTGTGGCATATATGTGCGTCACAGAGGTGAATCAAAACTTTAAAGAAATTGCAATCAAATGATAGCTGCTGGGGTGAATGTGAATGTAAAGTGAGACATAAAAGAGACCAACAAAATTTATTAGTAGATTTCTAAAACATGAATTATGAAATTCAAATATAGGTATCAGAAAAGTATAGATATGAGAAAATGCTGTCTGATGTTTTTGATTCTGACATCTTCTTTTCGAGGTTTCCTATTTTATTTTATTTATTTATTTTTAATTAATTATTTATTTTTAATTAATCATTATTTTTTTATTATGGTGACATTGGTTAACGAGACCCAGTAAGTTTCAGTTGTACAATTCAACAGTAAGGCATATATATATTGCATTGTGTGTTCACCACCCCTAGTTAGAATTCTTTCTGTCACCATATATTTGTCCCCTTTTACTCTATTTACCTCCCCCTTCCGCCTCCCTCTCGATTCTGACATCTCGAATGCTTGATGACATCTATCTATATTTCTTTGCTTTCTGCCATCAAATTGAATAATAATATTTAATAGTAATGTTTAGATTAATTCTAATGTATATGTTATTTCAAGACACAGTTGTTCAATGGATGGAAGATTTTCCAACCAAATCTTTAAAAATAGGACTAGGATTTCCATGCTGCTTTAATATTTATACCTTCTCCAGCATGTAGACTTGGTCACAGTACATCTAATGCTTCCATGTGTTGCTTTTGGAGCAGCCATGACCAAAGCTATTTTAGTAACTATGACCTAAAATACTTCTGACTACACCCCAAACGCATTATTGGGGGAGGAAAGGAGAGAGATACCTTCCAAGAACTCAAAAAATAAGGTAAATAATATTGCTGTCATGGAGTACCATTCTGAAATTAATGTTTGATGTAAAATATAATTATTATAGAAAAAAAGGATTGTATTCCATATATACATCTACAGAATTTAGTCACTTATGATAAAGAAAAGAGTAAATCATAAAAGCATCTTAACCTCGATAGTTCCTGTCTTCTCTCTGGCCCCTCAGAGCAAGCTTCTCTCTACAGAATGGGGAAGAGAATTGTACAGAAAGAAGTCCAGTGCGGGTATTGTGTTCTTGCCCGCTTATGGCTTGCTGGAAGTAGAGATCCTACATTACTATACAAATTTAATTCTACTCAGGATTTCTTCGAAGCAAATACACACTGGAAGTTCTGAGTAGTTCTATACTCAATAACTCATATATTACTTTCAAAACCATACGACATATTGGGCATTTTCCCTCTTCTAGATATCTAGCTTATTCTTACCATATGGTAGATTAAATACCTCCTTGTTTAGATGTGGGGGTTTATAGAGAAACAGTGAGATGGATATTCTCCCAAGCCTACAGTGGGAGTGAAGAGATTTGGGGGATGGTGGCTTTCCTGTGAATCTCTTGTATTTCCTAAGTCTCTGAAGTCATTTTACCCATTCTCTGTCTCTGGAGCCTCTATTTACTAATACTTTTCAACAAGGGGCCCAGCTCCTTCTTCAAACTCTTGAAATCCCTTCTAATGTTTTTACTTGAAAAGTCTTACAGTTTGTGTGTGTGTGTGTATGCGTGCTTTGCCCCAGTGACCTGCTTTAGGGAGTGATGGGCTTAAATTTTGAGAAGATTGGGAGAAGAGAAAATTCTGTCCCCATTAACAGGGTATGTAAAGAAGATGGGACTATTGAAGTTTGTTTTTCCCAACAAGGCTTGAAATTAAAGCACGTCTATCACAGTAATTAATTTTCTTGAAGGACCTATATCAAGTCTACATAAGAAATTAATATTTTATCTACTAATTTCTCTTTGTGATATGGTGCTTTGCCTGAATTTTACTGCAGACTTCTCATACACTCACTAACAGTAACAAGGGTGATGCCCAAATCACTTAGGAATGTGGGTGTGTGTGTGGTGATGGTGGCGGTCTTAATTCATTCTGCCTTAAACAGGAAAAGGAGAGTAATAGGGGCAAATATTGGTTGTATCAACTCAAGCTGCTGAGTTCAAAAAAAAGTGAGCTTCAGTGAACTTTTAGCATCTTAATTCTCCTGACAAAATAATTCATCATCAAGCAATTTTAGCTGGATTTCATTAAACAGCAAATATGTCAAACTGCTTGTTTTTGTATTCATTCTAAGCTCTACAGTAACTTTCTAATGATGATGTCTTCTTAGGTAGCTCTGTTTTCAGGAGAATGCGTTGTTCATACGGATATCAAGCCCCTGAAATCCTATAATTGCTATTTCTCACTGTAAATTAATAAATTGCCATGGTGATAATTAGAATGTGTCCCAAAAAAAGATCGACTTTTGGTATGCTCAAAACATTATGCTTCTGAAAGAGAACTGCTGGTCAGGCCCTAGAAATCTTGAGAATCCTCTCGGGAGAAAGCCTGGCCCTGCAACATTACTTCTTATTTTAAATTCCTACAGAGATGACACACCATATTATCTCATTATCTTACTAGTAGAGGAAACAGAATTGAGATAAATAAAAAAGGACTAATGGTCTAGGATGAATAGTGAACCTGAAGAATTATATAGGAAGAAACTCTCTAGAAAAAGACAACTTCTTAGGTTGCATCCATGCATGGCAAGAT